AATTCTAGCGATATCTTCACATCCCCTTCTTAGCTGCCTGGCCCTTAAAGGCAAACAACAAAATAATGACCAGGTTAAAATACAAGGCCCTCACAGATAAGAGGTCCTCTGGAGCAGAGGCCATGAAATGAATCTGAAATTCCTTGTAATTAGATAAGATAAGGGTATCTAAAGAGATGCAAAGCAGGCAGGAATGGGTCCGGCAACACATTTAGAAAATATACTGCCTGGCCTACTGAGGCCCCTCATATACTTGTCAGCAGACAGAAGGCATAGAAAGCAGGGCCTATGCCAGCCTCTGGGCTGCTTGGAGATGCCGTCTACAAGTTCTCATGCCGGGTGGGTACCCACTAAATATGCATCCGTGGGTGTCCAGAGGGTTTAATCAGATAGAAACAAAAGCATCTGGTACCCAGAATGGCATGGGGTGGGAACAACTGCAAGCAAAACAGGGTCAGGCTGGCATAGCTCCGCCCTGGGGGAAATGGGTCTGGAGAGGAGACTGTGGAGGGAAGGCTCTTGGGCTTTATTCTGAGCTGGCTATTGATCTCTGGATGCTGGGTCACGACATGCGGCGGAGCTGACGTCTGCCCTATGGATGTGCAGCCACTGCATCTAAGCCCCTCAGTCCCAACCCCATCACCTGGGTTTATTGACTCTTTTATTGACGATGGTGGGGCCTAATGAGAATAAGAGCTGCACACTTCATTAAGGACTATAGAAGGAGAGATGATACATCCTGCCAGTGCCAAGAACCAGGCTCAGTTCAGCTTTGCAAGGCCCCAGAAATCAAGCCTCATGCCACTTGAGGCAGAGGAGATGAACATAAGATACTCACTTGGGTGCATCTTGAATGAAGTGATGCCACTTCAGTGGCCTTGAAATGCAGGGTTTCCACAGTTTGCCAGAAGCCTTGTTCTTATTAATCAGCTAACCTTTTGACTTAGGAGGGTCTTATATACATACATTCACACAAATGCACTTTGATGGTCTCGCCTTCCAGCTCACACTCTTAGATTCTCTGCACTAACACAACAAAACAAGCAGGTTCTCATATCATACCAAGGAACATTTCCCAAAGCAGGTTCTCAATGAGGCACAGGCTCCAAATAGAGCAAGGGACTATTAAACTTGAATCTTTAAAGTATTAAATTCGAATGAGGAACAGACCCAGTACTCTGCCCAGGGCAACCTGTTCACTGGGGGCTGCACTGGCATTAGAATCTCAATTCTCTAACATTGGTCCAAAGCTCTTGTAGAACTGAGCACTAGAGATGGATGGTTACAGCCCGGGATCACTGAGCAGTGCTGAGAAGCAATTGTTTTGGTTCCTCTCCATCTAAATAGTAATATTTCTTTCTTCATTCTTTATCTTATCTTTCTATCAATTCCCTTATTTTTCTCTGTATTCTCCAATCATATTTTTTTTTTGTATCTTTTTGCCTGTCCCTTAGACCACATTAGACATCCCCCAAGGGCACTGCTAGCCTCAGCAGAGGCCCTAAAGACCAAAGAGGTTGCTGACTCTGACATTCTCTGTCTTTGATTGGTTCTCTTGGGAATCTAAAGTGGAGGTGGGGGGTGGCATGCAGAATGTGTCAGCTGTAGCCAGATGAGGCTGTTCACTCTGAGTGAGATGTGCAGACAGTCTACGGGGTTAATCTGCATGGGAGGCAGGTGGGGCCAAGGCAAATTTTATAGGCTAGATATCTGCAGACATCGTAACTTTGAAAAACTATATAAAAGGAATAACCATTTCTTTTGGAGTGATTCAGAAGACTAAATGTAAATAATAGAGGGATAGAAAGTTTCTAAGGTTGGACTGGCTTTCTTTGGTTTACTTCCATCTGTTTTTCAAAAGGTAAAAGTTTAAGCTACCTAAGCCCCCTCCTTTATTTCTGCCCTTTCTTCTCCCTCACTTTACTATGAATCTTAGAATTCAGGGTTCAGACAGGAAGATTCGAGGTGAGAGAAGGGAAGTTATTTAGAATCTGATAGAAAGTTCTGGCCTGCACAGCACATGCACACACATACTTTGGAGGAACACCCACTAAGAAGGAATGCTAAGAAGAGCTGATGTAATCGGACCAGGAGCACCAATATTCACAAATATAAACAGAAGCACTACCTGGATTCAGAGAGAACACCAGCAATGGCTGATTACTTTAAAGCCAGAAAGTGGGTAAAATACCTTTCCCCAGATAGGCATCTTATATGAAACAACCTTTAAATCCCCCAAATATGTTCTTTCCTTGTCTT